CCTTTTGTCCTACCTGAGTGACGAATTCTACTCATACGTTTTTTTTTTCTCATTTCTAATTTCACTTTGTCTACTCACCTCTTCAATCAGCCGATTGCCAAATATGCAGAAATGAAACACCTGCGCCAATGCATAGCCCAAGTAACCGATGACCGTGAATGCGTAAACATTGACGCCGGTGATCTTGGTGGCCTGATATGCCAACAACGTCAACATAATGGTGGATGTCAACATGTGTAAGAGCAAAGCGCCGCCGTACGTATCGCCGATGGCTGCGACTAATCTGTGAAATGGAATTGAAAATTTGCGCTATCCATTAAATTGAGATGAATTGAAGTGATTGAAGGAGAAAGGAGAATGAGAAACAGAGATTGCATTGAAAAAAACCAAGTCAAAACAAAATAGCAAATAACAGAAAAAATGGCCGACTCGCTGGTGCCATTAAGTATATACATGAAATCTGGCAATAATGGATGTACATATTGGTCGTATGCACATACATACGTATGTATGTATTAGCATAAGTAGAATGGTTATACATATTTATCTATATAAGAACAGACATGCATGCAGAAATTTCCATCGAATGAGTATAAGTAAATGCCCTGCTGAAAAAAGGTATCAATTAATTAATTAAAATAACCAACTTCTATTTAGTTAGCTTTTTTGTGGGATTTCGATACATAACTAACTTTTAATAAGTTACCACAAAACTAACCTTAAGTTAGTTGTGAAGTCGTGCAGAAGTCATGCAGACGTTATCGGGAGTTTGTTTTCTTTACAAGTATCTATTTGAATATCCTCATACAAAACTTACTTTGAATACACTTTTTTTCTGCACTTCGCAGATTCTTTTCCGTATTCAGGACAAATAAAGTAAAGGTCGAAATTTTATATTATCATTTGGATGTTAAGTCTGATCGAATTCAAATATGAAACGATGTAATGTTAAATAAAATAGGAAAATAGATAACAAAATATAACAAATTAAAAAAAATTGTATTCATAGTTTATGTCCAAAAGTAGTTAGCTACAAGTTATTTGAAATCTAATGTAAAGGAAACGGTGACAGGTAATAACATCAACGGAAATAAGGTCAATTGACTTTATTTCCCACCCTGGTGCGAAATACAGTCAATTGACATTATTATCTTTTTAAAAGCGAAATAAAATCTATTGACATTATTGCTCTTTCAAACATTAAATTTGCTTAGCTTCGAGGCGGACCGCGTCCGCGTGACCCTCGCCACCAGGGTGGGAAATCAACTCAATTGACCTTATTTCCGTTGATCTTGTTACCTGTCACCAGAGGAAACCATTTCACACTATTTTGTGGCCATCGCCCTTCAAAAGTAGTTAGTTACGGCCAAAGAAATTAGTTAATAAATAGTTACCACTAGTCGACTGCTAGTTAGTTAATAGTTAGCTACAAATTAGTCCCATTTCCTGCAGGGTAGCTGATAATAATGACCATAAATACATAAATAAGCAAACAAATAGATCACACATACACATAAACACAGAGCCATACAGACACATGCGGACACACGAAATGCAGGTAATCTAATAAATACATACAATTAATTGTATAATCAGTTATTTATGGGAAAATTTGTGTACACATGCCTTGCATTCAGAGATGACATTGTTTTGATGCTATAAATTTTTGAGCATTAAATTAATTTAAGTAGCAGCCACATGTTTGTAATCAATTTTATTTATGTAAATTTAATTGCAGTTTACGATACTAATTAAAAGATATTAAACGTACGAATTAATTAGATTGTTTGAATAGTGATTTCGAGTTCGTCGTGGCGTATGAGTACTATTGGAGCTGAAATCGCTTAAAGTTAAGGCATTGTTTTTATTAAATTCAAAAATTTATTATTTGAAAAATTTATAAGTGAGATTCCGCTGAACGAATTGATTCGCATACTCCGGATGGACGGAGTAAGGTTAAGGCTTCCTGGGAATGAAGACTTAGCCTCCACTGAAAATTCTATAAAATTCAAATCTTTTGGCACGCCGCTCAGTGCCGCCTTACAGGTCTATTCTGCGAGTTATCGAACATTTTGTAGCCAGAAAATTTTATTACTCAAAATTGTTACCACTTCTTGTGACCGCAATTCTAGACACATTAGTATCACAGAGACTGCTAATAAATTTAGCAACTCAGCTATGGATTTTTATATGGTGTCGCATATATCAAGGGGCAAATCCAAACAAAAAAATCCAAAAATACATTTTAACTATGAAATAACGTTTCACGTTTGCTTGTATTTCCATATACATTCATATATACAGGGTGGGCCAAATAAGACCTACCATAGTCTGCCTAGTTTGCCATAGTTTGCCTTTCAGTGTGCGCAGTCGCTCCATCTGGTTGGAATCACAAATTAGGATGCTGCTCTGCCGTTGGCCGCAAAAAGTTGTCAATCATTATTCTGTAAGAAGCCCCAGAAATCGTTTCTGGCGTTTCATTCTCATTCTCGAATAAACATTGGATCTGGATGGGTGTAACTGGTGCTGGTGTGTTGCCTTTCGATTTGCAGAGCCCCGAATTCTACAGTTTTGCTTGGAAATGCGCTTCATCCGGCTAAAACATTACCTAAAAAATCAATTTTTGAGGCTAGTTGTTCAAAACGAATAGCGTATTATAGTCGTTGTTGGTGCTTTTGCTGTAAGTATCCATTATTATTTTCCAAGAGATTAAGTATAACATGCAGAAAGAAAATAATATTAAACAAGTAAGAAAGTCTAAGTTCGGGCGGAGCCGAACATTAAATACC